TTACTACTACACACACACACACACACACACACACACACACACACACACACACACACACACACACACACACACACACACACAAAAAAAGTTTTGGCTGAAAAATTTTGCCTTCAGCAACATATGGCTCTGAGCTTCGGGAACCCCATCGCCATTTCTACCACTGATGTGACCAATGACTATAAACACCTAAATTATTAGGATCCCAGTCATGCTATTGCACCATAAGGGCACAGTGTAGGATTTTGCAAACAAGAGTAGGACATATGAGTCTTGGCTCAAGGCTTGCCCACGTCACCTCCCCAGAGCTCAGGGTCTCCCCTACCTTCCTGTCCTCAATCAGTTTCAAGGTGGTGGTGTTCTTTTTCAGCAGGAAGCTCACTACTTCTTGGTGGTTCTCAGCAGCTGCATACTGGATAGGTATCCTCCCCTCTTCGGACTCGAGAGTGGGTGTGGCACCGCTTTCCACGAGCAGCCGGACACTAGTCAGGAAACCTGATTTGGCAGCAAAGTGCAATGGGCCCCAGCCTTGCTGTGGAATTAAAGGATGTACAGTGAAAATGCAGCATTCATTGACCGCAGGCGGCAGGCAGTCACGTAATAGGGAGTGATGCAGGAGGGGATGGAATCACCTTTAACCAGAATTGCATGAAACTTTCATAACTTTCAAGTGATGGGCACACTGGAAATCCATGGGCAGCTGACTTCGCTGCCAGCTTTTGTCAACAGACAACCATGCTGCTGTTAGGAACCGTAGAATTCAGGACGTAGGGTTTGGAGATACTGTGTAGCGCCCCCCCCATGGCATCATGTATCATTCATGGCACTGGCCCTCAATCAAGGCTTGGTGCGAGACTCTCCATGAAGAGGTTGCACAGAAAGTGTGACCGCCCCTCACTGTTCCAGCAGGCTAACACCGACCGTGCGAGCTGCTGCTGTACCTTGTCAGTGACGTTGATCTCCGCTCCCTGGCCTAGTAACGCCCGCACCATCTCAACGTGGCCATTGGCTGCAGCCAGGTGGAGGCATGTCCGCCCTCTCTTGTCTCGGAGATGCAGCTGGGAGGTGGATTTGCTCAGAAGGAGCCCAACGACGGCGGTGTGACCATGCTGGGCCGCCAGGTGGAGAGGGATGGAGCCCTAAGCACAAGTGGGCTGGTTAGTATTTTACAGCATTTGGCACAGGGACAGGATGGCACTAATGGGACCTAACAAGGTCACCTGAAGTCACTGTCAGACTTGGCATGAGAGGCATCTCTCTTACAACAAGGACAGAGGCTGAGGACCGTGGGTCAGGGAGACTGAACTACCCTCCACAGCTAGAAGTGACCCCTCCAGAACAGGGCTGGGGTCTACTGTCCAAGGGCTACGAAGCTTCCATTGCAGGAGCCTCTTCTGCAGAGGGAAGAGCTGTCTCTACAGTTGTCAACCCGGCACTGGTCAGTAGTAGCACTTTGGCTACGTCTACACTACCCGCCTGAATTGGCGGGTAGAAATCGATCTCTCGGGGATCGAATTATCGCGTCTTGTCGGGACGCAACAATCGATCCCCGAATTGATGCTTGTACTCGACCAGCAGAGGTAGGAGTAAGCGCCGTCGATGGGGGAGCCGCGGAGGTCGATTTACCGCCGTCCTCACAGCGGGGTAAGTCGGCTCCGATACGCTCTGCACCATGGACCCTCCTCCCTGAATCTCTGCCCTCTGTGTCTTCTCCTTCGCCTTAACCCTCTCTTCCTCTTGTGGGCCTTGTGCATCCAAACTGACTCTCCTCCTGACCACCCCGGGGTCCTGCTTCTCCCACCTAGCACAGAGCCAGAGCAGCCTCTGGGGTGGGAGGTGGAAGCTTCCCGGAGAGACGGTTACCCCAGATGTGACGCTGCAAGAATCAAAGCCGCCCGCCCCCCATGACAGGCTGCAGCCTTCTCCTGGGCTGCGCCAGCTCAGAGCATGGTGGCCCCCATGTGAGTAGAACAGCCCCACACTGAGCGTGGCTGGCCTCTTACCTGCAGGCTGGTCTGACAATCCACCTGCACACCTGGGTAGTTGAGCAGCAGCCGGACCAGGCTCTCGTGTCCCGACTGGGCAGCCAGGTGCAGTGGCGTGAATCCTGACTGAGATAAATCACACAGACGGCGGCAGGGCCCCTCTGATGCCCCAGACTCCTGGGCATACAGCGAGGGCAATACAGTTCCCAGACATTTCCCCCCCCCAGTGCGAACAACTCAGAAACCAGAGCAGCTGTTCCCCCATTTTGTGCGACTCATGCCTGCAGGCGGGCCATGATGATCTACCTTCCTCCCTCTCTGAAGCCCTGAAGAGTCAGCAACCTGGCTGCAGCCTCCCCACATGCACCATCACGCTGGGCCCCCTCAGGATGCCTAGGCCTTGTGCTGTCCATCCCAAAGTCCCTCACCGACAACCCCTGCTGTCCCCTGAACATGCTGCCTGTGTGTGTTGTTGGATGTTATTTGGGCAACACACCTGGCCTGCAGCCTGGCCGGCAGTGAAGCTTTCATGCCTTTTTTGCTCCTGTCACTGAGGACAGGCCGTGCCACGCACACGAGCTACGCCGAAGATGTGTGTGTGTGACAATCCTGGGGAGCAGATCAAATGCGACCAGGAACTAGGGCACTTCTAAACCTTTACGCCGCTGGGGCATGCTCATTCCAATACCTGCTTGCCTTCACCTGCCCCTTGAGCTAGCTGGAGGATGGCAATTCCGTTCTGTGGCAACTTTTGAGGTTACCAAATTTGTTTTCGTTACACACTGGAATAAGCTCGAAACCTTTCAAAGGTTTTCATGATACTCTGCATCACTATAGCCTGGTAGCTGGGACACTGCTGTGGGAGACCCAGGCACAACCCCTGCTGTGCCTGATTCAGAGCAGTGAATTTCATCCCAGTTAACACTGACTCAGACAGAGCCAGGTCTTGAATCTGGATCTCCCAAATTCCAGGCCCAGGATCTGGCCTCCAACCCAAAACCCTCCTGATGAAAATTCGTGGAAACCAAAATGTTTTGGCTTCCCTGAAACAGCATCTTTCGGCAAGAACATTCCAACCAGATCTACCCGCCCCCCAGTTCTGGAACAAGTGGCGCCGTGGGACTGAGGGCTGCACCGTCATGGCCTCTATGCCTTGCAAGTTCCACGCACCGCCCATCCCTTTCAATCAGGGCCTTGGAGCAATTTGTCGTGCAGGCCTCCCATTTCTGGCCCTTTGAAAGGCCTCCCTGTGGAGCCAAATCCTAACCAAGGACAGCGGAGACGGGAAGAGGCAAAGGCAGATTTCCCAGGGTGAATACAGGGTAAATCCTTCTCCCCGCTCCCTAGGCCCAAGGGAGAGAGGAACCAGGGCAGCTGTGTTCCACAGAGTGCAGTGACATGACGCAGGGAGTTGTGTGTGTGTGGGGAGTGGGGTGGGGAGGGGGGACTGGGGTCCATCCAGGTGCAGGGCCCAGGAGTGTGTGTCGGGCGTAAGAAGGTTCACTGGCTAAAGCCACAGCAGAGAAGGGAGTAAGATTCCAGCGGACGTGGAAACTACTCGGGCAGTTCTGAGCAGCAGCAGGGAGGGGGACTCAGTCCGCAGCAGAGTACTCCCCTGCCAAGCCTGTCTACGGGGGAGAGGACTTGGGCCCACCACACAGTGAAATCAAATGGTTCAGTAACACGAGCCCCCATGTTATTTGGCTCCACGGAACTAGACAAGTGGGTTCGGGATGCCATGTGTCGGCTTGTCCCTTAATCTCTCCCCGGGGCTGGCTGCTGTCTTACCTCACTGCCTTGCTGCTTGACCTGCTGTCCTGCGGAGGTGAGCTTGGGAGGCTCGCTGCGCATGGCGGCCAATCCCCTGGCGAGCATGTCTCGGACGAAGTCCAGCTGGCCGTAATGAGCTGCCACATGAAGGGCAGTAAATCCTGTCTTGGAAGGGAAAGAAAAACACATCCACAGTTCAGGGAAAACAAACGAAATTTGCTCTTTTCAATGAACCAGAGCGCTCCCATTTAGCATCCGATCAAAGCACAGTACATGCCTGACAGCTGGAAGGAAGAAGGTTAAAAGGGAGAGGTCACAGAAGACATGAGAATGACAGGAACGAAAACAAAGAAAGGGAGGAAAGAATGAGAGAGTTGGAAGAGGAGAAGGAGCTTTTGGGGATACACAACATTTCAGGAAGCAGCCTCTGCATTTGGCATCCACAGTTGACTCCGCAAGGCTCTGGGCAGCATCAGGAAAAGACGACCCCTGACAAAGCGATAGAAGGCGGGCCCTGGGTTAAGGGATGTGATTGGGCGCCAGGAGTGAGCGGTTCTAGTCCTTTCTCTGCCATTGGCCGAGGTTTCAAAAAGGACTAACAATTTTGGATCTCTCTATTAGCGGGTGCTCAGCTTGAGAGCCCGAAAACAAGCCTGATTTTGTGGAAGCGCTGAGCACCCACCCTCTGAAAATTAGGCCCCTGTAAAGCATTCAAAAATTGAGGCCCTCAAAATCACTAGTCACCTTTGGAAACCTCATCTCGCGCTCTCTGGGCCTCAGTTTCCCATCCGCACAACGGGGATGCTAATGCTTCCTTTCTCTCACCTTCTGTCTGCCTGGGCTCTTTGCAAGTGCGTTGGGGCAGGGACGGTCTCTCACTAGGTGTACACATAGTGTCCAGCCCAGTGGGGACTAACCATTACCAATAATGTGTGTCCCAGGCACTTCCCTGCTTTGCTGTGTGGCCCTATCTCTGCTGGACACGCAACCAGGTCCTGACACTCACCTCTCACCCAGTTACAACAAACACCACCTGAGTTGGGTCCAAACAGCGGCTGTTTTCACAGCACAGCCACACCCATGCCATAGGCAGCAAGGCCCCTGCTGTGCAAAGCCGGCGGCCGCGCACTCACCTTGGTGCTGGTGATTCTCAAGGAGACGCTGCCCTTTAAGGCCTCCAGGACACTGATGTGCCCATGTTTGGCTGCCAGGTGAATTGCCGTCATTCCTTCCTAATAAGGAGCAGAGGAAAAGCATCAGAAGGCAAGGCCTGGTGCAAATCCCAGAGTGTTGTCACAGCAACGGAGGAAGTCTGGGTGAGGGACAGAGCCTTTGAAAGGCCTCCTGGGCTCTACTCGTATTCTTTGAGGTTCTGACACTCCCAGCACGGCCCAACTCCATGCTATGATGGTATAATTCAGAGGTTCTCAAACTTCACGACCCCCTTCTCAGAACAAAAATTACTTCACAACCCCAGGAAGGGAGACCAAAGCCTGAGCCTGCCCAGGCCCCACCGCCCTGGGTGGGGAGGCCAAAGCCTGAACCCCACCGCTCTGGGCAGGGGGGCAAAAGCTGAAGCTCCAGGGCTTCAGCCCCAGGCAGGGGGCCTGTAACCTGAGCCCTGCCACCCAGGGCTGAAGCCCTCGGGTTTTGGCTTCGGCCCTGGGCAGTGAGACTGAGGCCTCAGCAAGTCTAAGCCAGCCCTGGTGACCCCATTCAAAGGGAGTCACGGCACAGTTTGAGAACCGCTGGTATAATTCAAGGTGTCACAGGCTGGCTGGGCATTCAGGACAATGGGCTACCAGATGGAAAGCTACCTTAGCCTGGAACTGTCCGAGGAGTCACGAAGAAAGAGGAGGCTGGTTCTTTATAAATGAAACATCACTGCCCTTCCACTGCAAGGGGCAGAGAAATTTAACCCTTCATCCCTGAATTAAACAACTCACCACGCTACAATCACTGCATGGCACCATCCTGGGACTAGTCTACAAGAGACACACTAGGGGTATGGGGGGAGATGGAAAGAACAAGAATAGAGATGCTTTTACTTTAGCATCTCAGCGAAATGTTAGTACTTCCCCAAAGGGGAAAGGGCTCAGACCCCTGCGCCCCATTCACAGAGGTGCACATCAAGGAGAGACACAAGGATGTGAATGTAAAGTTTGTGGATGCACCTTTCCCTGCCAAAGAGAGATTCTCCTTCTGAGCATGCACCCTGAAATGAAGGAGGGGCATTTGCACTCATGGGCAAGCGGGTGTTACCAGTCCCCTCTGTGCTGATTACGGAGGATGAGTTGTTACAGCCCCCAGCAGCTCATGCTTTTGACTCTAGAGGGCCAAAGCTGTCGGCCAAAGAGGGCAGCCGTCACCCATTGCGTTCACAGCATTTGCATTTTGAACTGGGAGCTGCCCAGCAGAGCCCTTGGTACGTACGCCATCCTCATCTGCTGCCGAGGCTCCCGTCTGCAGCAAGACCTTCACCACCTCGCCGTGTCCACCAGCAGCTGCCAGGTGCAGGGGTGTGGAGTTGTTTGTCTGCAACACAAAGACAGACCGGTTGGGTAACTAACCATGTGCAAGTATCAGGGGGTAGCCGTGTTAGTCTGTATCCACAAAAACAACAAGGAATCCGGTGGCACCTTAAAGACTAACAGATTTATTTGGGCATAAAAAAGCTAACTGTCTGAGCTTCAGAGCAAGCTGGCGGTGGGTAGGGATTTTATCGGGACTGTCCCGATATTTGCTTATTTGTCCCACGTCCTGACCTACCTTCGGTTGGGACGCGAATTGTCCCGATATTTTGCCTCCGCCCACAGGTGGAGTGGAGCCCGGAGAGGGGGCGCGCCCCCCCCGCCGACTCCGCCCCATCCTTCCCCCATTGGATCCCTCCCCAAATCCCCGCCCTGGCCCCACGGCCCCAGTCCCGCCCCCTCACTGCCCCATTGGATCCCTTCCCAAACCCTCGCCCTGGCCCCCCTTCTTCCCCAAGCACACCGCATTCCTCCTCCTCCCCCCTCCCTCCCAGGCTTGCGCTGATCAGCTGTATGGCGGCGCAAGTGCTGGAGGCAGGGGGGAGGTGGAGATGGAGTGGAGGCAAGCTGGTGGGGGGCGGGGCGGGGTGTGGAGCTCCGGCGGCCGTTTTTTTTTTTCCCTTGGATGGAGGGGGGAGGTGGAGATGGAGCGGAGGCATGCTGGTACGGGGGGGAGGGAGGGGAAGGGGGCAGGGCGTGGAGCTCCGGCGGCCATTTTTTTCTTTTTTTTTGCTCTGCCCCCCCCCACGTCCCGATATTTCACCTGTGTGATCTGGTCACCCTAGTGGTGGGGCTCACCTCACAAGGATCACAGCATATAAGATTGAGAGGCAAGGGCCAAGGGAGGTACCAGAGCTCCCTGCATATAACAACACAACGGCACAGAGCATCAGGACGACGTGGGACTCTCTCACAGCCTTCTCCTCCAAATGCCTCAATCCTGGGTCTTCTCAGTGCTAATTTGCCCTAAGGATGCAACCTACGATTCTTCATGCAGGCCACAAAGAAAGTGTAGAGGGGCAAACAGCAGCGTTTAAATTGGGGGGAGGGGGGCTCTTAGGAACTGTGACTGAAATCTCAGCACTCTTCTGTTTCGCCTGACAAACAGGGCTCAAAGAGACCTGCCAGCGACCTCACTGCAAAGGACACATTGCAAATACCCTCCCATGCAAACAAAGCCCTACCTACCTTAACTACATAGTAAATCAGAGGTGGGCAAACTACGGCCCGCAGGCCACATCTGGCCCGTGGGACCCTCCTGCCTGGCTCCTGAGCTACCCCCGGCCCCTCCCCTGCAGCCTCAGCTCGCCCTGGCGCAATGCTCTGGGCGGCGGGGCTGCGAACTCCTGGGGCAGCGCAGCTACAGAGCAGTGGCCCTGATTCCAGAGGGTGTGTCAGCTGTCCCGCCTTTCCTGCGGCAGATACAAACTCTCTGCGTTTCTGAGGCAGCCATGGTTAGTAAGATAATAGTGTTCCGTGGCTGCCATCTCATATTTTGTCATGACTATTACTGGGATGCTCGCCGTCTGTGGAGTGAAGACTCCGATAGCGTGGCCATGCAGCGTAAAGCTACGATTTAGTCACGGAGGTCACGGATTCTGTCACTTTGCCAGACCTCCGTGACTTCTAGGGCTTCAGGAGGAGGAGGAGGAGGCGGGACTGTGCGTCCCTGCCCTGCAACTGGGGCTGGCTGGAACCAGGACCCTGCAGCCCCAGCCCCAGGGCTTCTGCCAGGGGGCTGTAGCTGGGCCCGTGCACTCCAGCCCCACGGCATCGCGGGCTCGGTGGAGGCTGAACCGAGGCCACACGCCCCAGCCCTACGGCATCCCGGGCTCGCCAGAGGCTGCAGCCGGGGCCGCGTGTCCCAGGCTCGGGGCGGGGGCTACAGGCGGAGCTGTGTGCCCAGCCCCGCGGCTTTCACCGGGGGCTGCAGCTGGGGCCATACGCCCCTGCCTGGTGGCTGCACCAGGGGCTGTGTGCCCCCCTTGTGGCTTCCCAGGGCCATGTGCCTCCCCTATGCTGCGGCCGGGGCTTGGCGGGGGCTGCAGCCGGGGCTGTGCACCCCTGTCCCACAGCTGTGGCCAGCTTCGGAACAGGGGCTGCGATCCCCCCGTGGCTGCACCCCCCTGCTGTGGCCACCGGAGCCGGGGCTGTTTCCCCCACCATGGCGGGGCGCTCGACCTGTCGGCCCAGCCCTCCATGGGACTCCATTCCTCCCCCATATAGCCCTGCCCCCCCAGTTATTTTTAGTAAAGTAATGGACAGGTCACAGGCTCTGTTAATTTTTGTTTATCACCCGTGACCAGTTCGTGACTTTTACTAAAAATAACCGTGATAAAATCTTAGCCTTAAGCATGCGTAATGGAGGCACTGAGAATGGTGTGGATCTCTGGATCCTAGCTGGGCACTGCTTGAGCTCTCATACACATGGGAGAGAGGAGGTGCAATACAGGTCCAGCACCAGCTTCAGAATCACCCCATAGACTGTCCATAGCTAGTTCTCCCTTTACCCCTCTCACTCCTGCATTAACATTCTTCCTAATCCCTCTGGGATAGCAGAACAGGCACAGATCTAGACTCTCGGGTCAGCTCTGTGTGACACTGCCCAGCTGGACTGGCCCATAGCAAGGGGACACCGCCACAGGGACTCACCTTGTTGCGTGCTGTGGTCGCCCCCACCTTGTTGAACTTCAGCAGCTCCTTGATCACAGCGACGCTGCCTTTGGAGGCAGCTATGTGGGCACAGGTTGAACCTTCCACGTTAGCAGAGGTCACCAGTTCCGGCTTGTGCTTCAGAAAGAACTGAACCACCTCCGAATGGTCATTCTCAGCGGCCAGGTGCAACGGCGTCTGTCCTTGCTGAGGGGAAAACAGAGCCAGGCACCGTGAGACCCCAACCTGTCAGTGAACCGCGTCGGGGCTTGGTTGTGTCGCGGTTCCTCTGGGGTGTGCCTGGTCAGAGGTTAGAGGCCAGGGCGAAAGGGGGGACATTTTTCAAACTCACAAGTTCAGACCTGAAGGGCAAACATTTCCCAAAATTAAAGGCTTCTCTCAGAAAGACTGGAAGTTCAACCCTCGGCCACCTGGACTGTACCTAAAGGGTCACGTTCGGGGGTAGATCTGCCTTTTTTTGGTCAGGCAGCGGGAGACTGAAAACAAAATCAATCACACAGCTGTGAGGGTTGAATGGAAACGCATTTTAACCTGCCAAGGCCGTTGTTCAAGATCCCATGTACCTGCTGCATCATCTGATGGCAGCGTTCATTCAGCGGCCAAAGCAGGGCCTGGGGCTGTGGGGCACAAAGTCCCTTCTCTGCTTTAGGCATTAGCAAAATCAAAAACAGGAGGGGAATTTTACCTGTGTTCTCTGGCTCCTGACACGGCTCCCTACGGTACCTGTGAACCTGCAGCCAGGGCCGGATTAAACTTTTGTGGGCCCCCATGGGGGCAATGGGGGAGTTGGTCCCCGGAGCGAGGGACCACCCGGGGGCTATGGGGCATGGTGTGGCAGGATTGGCCCTGCTCCGCCCAGCGCGAGGGGACTGTTTACAAACCAGCAGCCACCAGAGGCACGCTGGTCCACCCAGCCCTGCGCCACCAGTGTGCCCCTTTCCCTCAGGGGCGGGCCCATGCCGCAGCACACCAACCCCTTGTACAATGGCCCTCTGCGCTAGGCGCCCCAGGTGTGGACAGGCAGGCTCAGCCCGGCAGCAGGATCTAAATGCAGAGGGGCTAAGTGGGGGGGGGATCCAGGTGGGGGTAAGAGGGTTCTGTGTGGGGCAATCTGGGTGCAGGCAGCTCAGTGGGGGATCTGGATGCACAGGGGCTCATTGGGGGGTTCCAGGTGCAGGGGGAATGGGACTCTGCAGGGGGGTCCAGGTGAAGGTGGTTGGGGTTCAGCAGGGGGTGTCTGGGTGTGGAGAGCTCAATGGGGGAGGGGGTCCGGGTGTAAGGGGGGGCTCATTGGGGTGGGTGTCCAAGTGCATCTGGTTGGGGCTCAGTGGGGTGGGAGTCTGGGAGGGTCATCGGAGAGGTGGGGCTGGTAAGGGTGGGGGTTTGATGGGCCTGCTTAACAGGGGAGCGCCAGCTGCTGCCAAGGGCATGCCGTGTGTCGGGCTCCCGTGTCTTCCCCGCCCCCGCTTTTCCTATCCCTTTCTCTTCCCCATTCTGTGCCCTTTCCCCACTGCCCCATCCCCTTCCCATCCCACTTCACTGCCTCTTTCCCCCAGCACGTCCCCTGCCCTGCCCCAGGATGGCTCCCAGCACACAGAAGGGGAGCACGACCAGCACTAGGCCGCAGAAGGTGGCATCCAGCTGCAAAGTCAGTGGAGCTGAGTGGCACCCTCTTTTTTCAGCGGGGCAGCTCTGCCCTCGCAGAAATGGGGGGGCAGTGATATGTGACCCCCCTGTGTCCTCCCCCACCCCAACTCTGTTAGGGGCAATGCCCCCCAAACTACGCCCATGGGCATTCCTAGTCACACACCCCTACCCCGCGCTTCCCTCTGCTTCTCCCTCTCTTTCTGCAGCAGAGGGACCTGTTTTCATTCCCCCAAGAGTACCCCCCCACACACAGACACCCCAGAGACCCATTCCCCCACGCCCTGCCCCCCCAGTCACACTCACCCGGTTGCTGGGAGCCGACCCTGTCTGCTGGGCTGAACTGGCCGGTAGGGGATCTCTCAGAAGCTGGGTGACCAGCTGTCCGGTTTTCGACTGGAACACCGGTTGAAAAGGGACCCTGGCGGTTCTGGTCCGCACCGCCGACTGGGCCATTAACAGTCCAGTCAGCGGTGCTGCGGGGCTAAGGCAGGCTAGTCCCTACCTGTCCTGGCTCGACGCTGCGCCCCGGAAACGGCCAGCAGGTCCAGCCCCTAGGCGGGGGGGGGCCCAGAGCTCCACGCATTGCCCGTCCCAAGCACTGGCTCTGCACTTCCATTGGCCAGGAACCCTGGCCACTGGGAGCTGCGGGGGCAGTGCCTGCGGGCGAGAGCAGCGCATCGAAAATCCTGCCCCCCGGCCTAGGAGCCGGACCTGCTGGCTGCTCTGGGGTGCAGCGTGGAGCCAGGACAGGTAGGAAGTTTGCCTTAGCCCTGCTGCAATGCTGATCGGGACCCACCGGAGATAAGCCCATGCCCCAACCCTGAGCCCCACCCCCTCCGCCCCAGCCCTGAGCCTCCCCCCCAACCTGGAGCCTCCTTCTGCACCCCAAGCCCCTCATCCCCGGCCCCACCCCAGAGCCCACACCCCCAGATGGAGCCCTTACCCTCCTGCCCCCCACCCACTGCCCAAGCCCAGAGCTCCCTCCCACACCCTGAACCCCAGCCTGGAGCCCCCTCCTGCACCCCAAACCCCTCATCCCCAGGCCCACCCCAGAGCCTGTACCCCCTCCCACACCCCAATCCCCTGCCTCAACCTGCAGCCCCCTCCCACACCCTGAACCCCTCAGCTCCACCCCCCAGCCTGGAGCCCCCTTCTGCACCCCAAACCCCTCATCCTCATCCCCACCCCAGAGCCCTCACCCCTCCACACCCCAACTCCCTGCCTCAACCCGCAGCTCCCGCCCGCACCCCTCACCCCTAATTTCTGACTCCACCCCGGAGCCCAGCACCTTCCCAGTTAGAGCCCTCACTCCCCCCGCACTGTTCCCCACCACCACCTGGCTGAGACAGGCAGAGTGGGGAGGGGAGGCGGGGCCACCGTCTGGACCCTGCTGAGTGTGGGCCCGGTGCCATGGCGCCATGGTAAACCCGGTACCGCCTGCAGCATAGAACTACGGTACAATAGAAGCTGCCTGGACTGACTCCCCTGTGGGCCGTTGCTAGCCAACAGCAGGACTTGCTGGTGCAGATGGACTAGGGGCAGGGGTTTAGCAAGCAGCTAAACCACCGGCTGCTCAGCTGAGAAGTACAGGGGCGAGGGACATCGGTGGCCGTGTGTGTGCATACAAGGCGGAGAAGGAAGCCTGCACTGCCGCAGGTATCACACAGGCCGTGGCAGCGCCTGTGTGAGTTTCTGCAATCAGTGCGTCTTCACTAAACAGACTGCAGGCTACGCGTCAGCCGTTGCTATTTACCAAGCGGGACGGTGGCTAACCGAGTGCTAATGTGCCTTGCCACGGCGTCTATTCCCAACCTTGCATGGAATCTTACCTGTCGTTACTGGAGATGGGCCGGGTTCTGCATAGCCCAGAACATTGGGTGAGTTTAGAGTCAGATTTTAATGGGAAGAACTGGGTCTGCCAGTGCTTAAAGAGGTCTGAAGAAAGTGTGTGTGCGCGGGGGTCTGTCGTGATCTGGGAGCAGCAACTTTGGTAAAACAGTGCCTAATGTGCACCCCTCGGTGTTCCAGGTCGACTTAAATATATACTGATTGCTGGTTCTGTGACCCCTTGTGATCTCCCCTCCCCCTCACTTTAAGCACGGGGGCGGCTGCTTCTTTAAAATGGGATGTCTGCCTCCTCCGACTTCGCGTCAACACACAGGGACGTGGCACAGCACGGCAATGTTATGGTGCACAGTGGTGCTGTGCTGAGTGGACTGAGGGGTTTCCTCTGGTTGCAAATGCTGGGGCTAGGATATTGGTTGTGTAAGCACCCATAAGGGCATGTCAGGGTTTGATGCACCTACGCCCTGTCCCTTTAAGGACCAAAGGTCAGCTGAGGAGGTCAAAGGGGCCCGCCTAGATGACAGCAGCAGAATTTTTGGTGTGCTCCAGAAGGACTCAGCCGCACTGGGGATTCTTCGAACTGTGCGTGTTTGTTTTTGGATACTAAATTTAATAAAACTCCAGTTTTAAAATGGTCCCGGATCTGGGAGGGTAACAGCTGCAGGCTGTTTTATGGGAGGCAGAAAGCCAAGGGAAGCAGCTTTGAGTGGGGCCCTGAGAGGAAGCAGAAGTAGAGTTTCTTGGGCACAGAGCTCGCTGGAGAGGCAGACGGGGGATTTCAGAGCAAGGAAACTGCCTGCTGTTTGTTTCCACTGCATTCAGGGAAACAGGACCTTGGTGGACGTTCCACGTACATGAACCGGATTATTTCTGCTTCACAGTGGGGGCCTTCGGGAGCTCAGCAATAGCGGCGGATCAGCCGTTACCATTCCTATATGATTAGCGCTGACTGACCTTTTTGCTGAGGGGCTCTGCAGAGGCCTCAAGGACTAAGTGGGCCACGGAGAGCAATGTAACCTCTCCCCAGGGGAGGAAGTTCCTCCAGGTTACACTCAAGGCACAGCGGTATGGGGCAGTGTGCATGCTGGCTAACCCTGCTGTACCAGTCCTGCGTCAATACGCAGGAGTTGAGTCTCCAGGGCTCTCCAGCCAGCCTCTTTTGGTCACATTCTCCAAATTCTGGCCAGAATTCCTCCAGCAGGAGAGGGAGGTCTCAGCTGGCGGAACCAGCTCCACTGCAGTATCACCCGCCTCCCCCAGCAAACAGCGTATACTGAAGGACAAAGTGGGCATGTCAGGTGAGGGCAGGGCAGAGCACTAGGCCACTCCCCCATCCTCAGCTAGGAGGTGATCCTTTATGTCATTGGCGTAAGCCAGTGCGGCCCCTAGTCTGCTCTAACTCATGCCAGGGCAGGCACAGACCAGGCCATTGAATCAGAGAACTGGAATCAGCTCCCAAATAATCCCCCAACTTCCCTACACCAAGAGGATCTTGGTGAACGACAGAAAATCTCTTTTGAAAAGATAAAGTAGCAATTGAACATGTTCTTAAGCTACGGCGCTATTAATAACAGCAACTTATACCGATTGGGGCCCCTGACTGTTCCTGCTCCCCAAGAGGTAAGACGGCGCCTCCAGCGTGCTCCTGATTGTTATTTTTAGCAGAGGAACTGATAGTGAGAATGACAGGAATCAGTAGTGGAAAGAGGCCAGCCAGTGAAGTATCCGGTCGTAAAAGCCAGCACAGAATGTTTGCAATAAAATATCGGTATGCAGGGAAAAAAGCAGCGTAGGACACAAAGCAGAGCAGTGAGCGATGAAAAGTGACGTCTGACACGGACGTGGGGAGGTGTAAGCATCCCCCCAGTTCAATAACAAGCCGTCGCACCTCTAGCTCATCTTCCATTGAAGGAACTCACATACTCCAATGAATTAAGCCCCATAAGAGCCCTTTGAATGATCCCTGACCCCAGTTTGCAGATGGGGAAACTGAGGCATAGAGCAGTCAAGTGACTTGCCCAAGGTCACAAAGCGAGTCAGTGGCAGGACCAAGTCCACCCTTCCCCCCCCCCAGAGGAGTCAGAAGGTGGCTCTTGTGGCACAGTGGTTCATGGGGTATTTCTGCCATCTGACAGGGGCCAGTTGCAAGCGCTGATCACATTCAATTCAGCAATAGATTAGAAACAGAGCAGGGTTCCTGAAGGTTACAACCCATGGGATGCCCTGCTCTTTATACACTTTGGAGAGCCGGCTGGATGCCAGTATGCGGTGCCCAGTGATGAGGCTTCCTTTGGGGAGGAAGGACAATCTAATGACTATGGCACAGAGCGGAGATTCAGGGGACATGGGCTATAATCCCAAACCTTAGACAACGTGCTACGTGCCTCCTCTCATTGCCTCCAAATGGGGATGACACCACCTCAGCTCAACGCCTGTAAATTCTTGGAAGGCACAGGCAATAGGAGAGCAAGGTGTAATGAGCTGGGGGAGTTAAAAGATTTCTAGGCCCTGGGGCTAGGAGCTGGTGTTCTGCTGATGGAATATCGGTAACTGGTGAAGGGGCATCAGGCACCCAACCACCATGGCATGGGGTCCCACTCCCTTCACGGCATCAGCAAAGGAAAACAACAATCAAACAGGGATGGGGAGAGAAGGCTCGTGGGTAACAATGAGACCCAGACTGAAAGAGCCTGAGGAACTCAAGGAGAAAGGAAACTATTGTGTCTTTGGCGGCAGCAGCGGGACCTTCTGAACTGCAGGATGTTTTGCTCCGAGATATGTGCTTGCTTCAACAGAGCTCGTGAAACACGATTCCCGGTGCAGGCTGCAGTGCCTCGCTGCGGGGGAGAGCAGAGAGAGACTTACGATGTCGGTGGCATTGACGTCCGCGCTCATGCTCAGCAGGCTGGTGCACACGTCCAGCTGGCCGGTCAGCGCAGCGAGGTGCAGAGGGGTTCGCTTGGTCTGCCCGGGAAGAAAAGCCAAACACACTTCAGCAAGTGTCGGCTTTCCCCAAGGAGACAACACAACACCAGGAGAGAGGGCAGTCCTATAGGTATCTGAGTGCACGTGGATGCCTGCTCTGGGGCAGAGACTGCTTTTGGCCTTTTAAAGCCTATGGGTGTGTCTTCACTAGGGAAAGAGGCATTTTCTTACCACGTGTTAGCTGACACACATTAAGGTCCTACTGAAGGCGAGGCAGTTTGTAGCTTCCACCCGTTAGCAGACTGAGGTGAAGGCTCCGGAGGAGCCTAGGGTTTGTACCTCAACCTGCTAACACGTGAAAGCCACACACTGCCTTGTCTCCACTAGGATTTACCTCGTGTTCGTTACCTCGTGCTGGCTAACAATACACCTCTTTCCCCAGTGAAGACGAGGTCTAGGATTTAACGGAGGGATGTTAGCACGTGCTAATAAACACCTTTGAAGAACCTGGTGTATTCAAGGCCCCCTGCCTTTAACACATGCTAACCCAGTCAGATTCAAGTCAGGGCTGGCCTTATGGGTGGGTGACATGGGCGACCACCTACAGCTCCATGGTCGGGGGGCACCACGGTCAAGAGGCAAGGAGGGGGGCAGGCCTGGGGTGCGAGGCTGCAGAAGGGAGCTTGGGGAGAGGCAGCAGGGCCCAGGGTCATGGTGGGGGGGGGAATCAGAGGGGCTGGGTGGCTGGCTGGGTGGGGAGCCTGGGGAAGCAGTGGGGGCTGGGATGCCAAAATACAAGTTCACCCAGGGTGCCATTTTCCCTAAGGCCAGCCCTGATAAAATCCCAGATTGTCCGTGGCTTTAACCCAACCAATTTAGCATGTGTTAAAGGCAGGGGGCCTTGTCTTGTTCCCAACATGTTAGCACCCACTGGCCTGGTCCAGACAAAGCCCAAGCAACTTCTCCACCCTGATGACATCTCATCCACTTGGGACGCTTAAACTGAAGTGTCCCGGAGAGTCCCCACGTACTTTCTCGTACTGTGGATACGATTCTGTGTTGAGCTTCTCAGAGGCACAGCTCAGAACTCACAGCCCAGGGGGAGGAAGGTCTTCTGTGACTTTAAGCCACCTTTGTGCCCTCCATATCCTGGGCTGCTGCAAGCAGGGCCAGCTCCAGCGTTTTTGCCGCCCCAAGCGGCGGGGGGTTGGGGGGGAGAAGCTGCGATCAGTGGCCCTTCGGCGGCAGCTCTACTGCCGCCGCTTCATTCTTCAGCGGCAATTCGGCGGCAGGTCCTTCCCTCCGAGAGGGACTCGCCGCCGAAGAACCAGACGTGCCACCCCTTTCCGTTGGCCACCACAAGCGCCTGCTTGTTGGAGCCGGCCCTGGCTGCAAGGAATGGAGAGACTCCCAGCATTACAGCCATGGGAGCCAGTCTAAGTCATTTCCCCAGCTGCCACGGGCCATCACACTGCCTAGAGTCTCCTCAGCACTGTATACTGTGGGACCATCGGGCTCCCAGACCTGCCTCTTGCACACCTCCTACGGCAGGGTTTGCGAGTGGGGGGATCCTCCTTGAAAGGCAGCCTTACAACCGTCTTCCACAGTGCCTGCACCAGGGGACTGCTCCCCCAGCCAGATAAGGGACTTTTAGGGCCCCTTTACATCACTCTGGCCCTTTTACCAAGGGTGAGGGTGGTGTGCATACATAGCGGATACATTTGTTCCTAACAGCCGTTAGCTCCACAGCCCTTATTTTGGTAATTGCCCCTGTCCTCGAGGAGCCTCGACAGAGGTTCACATTATTGAAGTTCTAAACTTATCCCAAGCACCCCAGTGATTGGCCTTGGGAAGGAAGCAGGCTTGGTTGGTGGTACGATCAAGGCCCTTTATGCCGTTTTTATGTAGCTCTGTGCCTCCTCACCGCTGGGCCTGGGCACCTGAGCCATTTATTTACTACCTGAAAACTTGAACAAATATTCCTAACGAGATGTAAGCTGTGAATGAAGTAGGGTCGGCAAAGGGCCCAAGGAGAGAATTTGGGCCTTTAGTATCTAACTGAAGCCCTGTGAGGATAGCTTTTAATGGAATCCCTCAGAGGCTCACGAGTGGATTTAGTTTTGTCCTTGCTACGTAAGTCTTACAGAAGGGTTTCATGTCCATCCGTGCACTTGCACCCAAAACCTGTTTGGGTCAGACTGAAAACGTCTGTTTCTGAATCAGCATTAGCAGCCCTTTGGGTTTCTACTGCTTAAAAATGTGTCTTTTTCTTTAAAATTGCCCTGACATCTGGCAGGTTTTTGTTTGGTTTCAGCCAGTCACAGCCTTTGGGCCTAGAAAGCTGGTCCCTTACGGCTTTCTTTGCCACTATTGTTATTTATTAATAGTATAGTATGGGGACACCTAGAGGCCTCCATCAGAGATCGATGTCCCATGGTGCTAGGCGCTGTATGCACATATCACAGAGATGCTCCATGCCCCAAAGAGCTTAACAGTCTATGCACATGGCATGACACAACAGGGAATAAACCAAATAAAGGAGCAGAGTCAGTAATGGTGAGCATAAGTAGCTACAACCTAATACAACCTAATCTGATACAGCCTCAACCCTGTCTGCGTACTGGTCTGATCCCTTTGACTCTGAAGGCTGCTCACTGTGTAACATTTCACTCGGCAATCGTCTCCACTCAGAAAGCCGCCTTAGTAGCCAAGCTCCTACCCACGTGCAGTTTGGTCATGCCTATAAGCCACTCCTTACCAGGGTCATAGCATCAATGCTGGCCAGGTGAGTCTCCACGAGGAGCTTGACTAAATGGTTGTAGCCGTTCTGAGCGCTGAGGTGAAGAGGTGTCAGGCCCAGCTTGGTCTTGGCATTGACGAAGGCCTTGTGCCACAGCAGGACGTCTGCAATCTGGTCATGGCCGTTCTCTGCGGCCAGGTGCAAAGCTGCTTTCCCGTGCTGCAAACAAAGCCACAAAGCTAGCCGCTGCGGAGATGGGCCACGGAACCGTGGGTTTTAATCACCTCCCATTCGCAGGGCCTTCCTGTGTGCTCCGGACACTATAAATACTCTGCCATGAAACCATCACCGCGTGACTATTTTTGGCCATAGTCAAAGCCGTCAAGCAAGTGTTGTGTGTGTCTGTGTTAAGGCAGGACTGATAATAAGAATAGTCTAGTGGTTAGGGTGCTAGATAGTACTCGGGAGACCTTGGTTCAAGACCCTGCTCTACCAACAACTTCCTGCGTGGCCTTGGGCAAGTTGCTTACTCTCTCTGGATATGTCTGCCCAGCAGTGAGTCTCAGAGCCTGGGTCAGCTGACTTGGGCTCATGCTGTAGAGCTAAAAATAGCAGTGCAGAGGTTTGAGCTCAGGCTGAAACCCAGCAAGGGGAGAGGGTCTCAAAGCCTGGGCCTGATCATCTCCATTGCTACTTTTAGCCCAAGAGTGTGAGTCCTGAGACTGAGTCAGTTGATCCAGACTGAGAGTCTTGCTCCCGTGGGTTTGTTTTGCAGTGTAGACAAACCCTTTGCAGCTCAGTTCCCCACCTGTAAAATGGGGATAATAGCAGTGCCCTACTTCAGAGGGGGTTGTGATAGGCTCAGATACGAGAGCAATGGGAACCAAGTAAGTATCTAAGGTCTGGTCTACACTGAGGGGGCGGGGGTGGGAATCGATCTAAGTTACGCAACTTCAGTTACGTGAATAACGTAGCTGAAGTCGACGTACTTAGATCGACTTACTGTGGTGTCTTCACTGCGGTAAGTTGTTGGCTGACGCTCTCCTGTGCCTCTTGCCCTGGTGGAGTACCGGAGTCGACGGGAGAGTGCTCGGCGGTCGATTTATCACGTCTGCACTAGATGCGATAAATCGACCCCCGCTGGATCGATCGCTGCCCGTCGATCCAGAGGGTAATGTAGACAAGCCTTTAGATAGATACTGCCCTCCAATGGCTGGACTCCACAGAGCACATAGAACTTACTACTACTAGCAGCTGAAGGAGCTTTCTTTTAGATCAAATGCTAGAGGCCTGTGCTTCTGGAGCTGCAGGATATGGGTTCTAGTCCCCACTACCCAGGTGTCAGAGTTTGTGTGGTCACTGTGTGTTGTCTGCAGCATATGAAATTATTGTAGTAGCTTTACTGCACCAAGAAAGAGTTTTAATACCCTCTCTGGCCAGAACAGTACGAAGCCAAACAGAGATTTGCCTGCAGAGTAACAATCCCTATACATGTATATAGCATCATAGGTATCCCGTGTGTTATAGACCATGTCCCTGCCCCAAGGAGCTTACAAACTAATTAGTCTGAAAGCACAGCTAGCTGGTAAGGGGTAGAGGAGACAGTGGCCGGAAAGATGGCCGCATAGTTTTTCCAGGCAGAGCAAATCATCTACGGTATTTGCTTCACATGTTTCTTGTTCATTGCATTTGAATAAAGTTTATTTCATGACTGGTATGGGATTTAGATTGCTCCCCTGGGTGGGCTACTCTGAAAAGACTTCTTGGGAGAAGGGAGTTCTAAGGCAGTGGGGGTTATGAACAAGCCAACGAGCTATGTGTATTTGACCTCATGCTCCTCCAGTCACTTTACGCTCAGTAAAAGGACTGGCTGGACATCAGCAAGGACAAAGAATAAAGTATCTGCATGTGAACACTGCATAACTAACAGATCAAACACAACACATGAGACCTTTAATAATAACACCCCTACCAGGGAGACCTTGGAAGAGACTAGCTGCAGATGTATGTGAATTCAGAAGACATCATTACCTAATAGTTGTGGACAGTTTTCCCGGGTATGTAGAAATAATGTAGTTGGAAGACATAACATGTTGCGGAGTTATTGAGAAAATGAGGTTCACTTCTGCTCATTTCGGTATTCCAGAACAACTAGTGACAGACAACGGACCACAATTCACTGCAGCAGAACATAAATCGTTCCCAATGAAATATGATTTTGATCCTATTACTAGCTGTCCACATTACTCACAAGCGAAGAAGAGACTGAGAGAGCAGTACAGACAGCCAAGAAAATCCTACAGCAGGAAGATCCATTCCTTGCTCTTCTGACTTACAGATCAACATCAATAGCAACTACTGGATATAGTCCAGCACAGCTCTTGATGGGAAGACAACTCAGAACTACTGCTCCAACTTTGGAAAAAAATCTGTCTCCAAAGTGGCAAGACATGAAGAGAGTAGCCAAATCAGATAAAAAGGCTAAAAGGAAACAGTCGTGGGATAACAGGGAAGGTCCTCTCATGGATCAGTAACTGGTTAAAAGACAGGAAACAAAAGGAGAGAGATAAATAGCTTTGTCCCCCAAGGATCTGTACTGGGACCCAGGGTCTGAATTACTTGCCCCGAAGCTGCAGGTTTACCTGAAAGCAGCTAACAGAAGTGTTCCTGTCTTTAACACTCAGATGCCCAACTCCCTCTGGGTTTCCACCACCTCCCCGCCCCCCGTCACTGGAAAGCACCAGGTTAAAGATGGATTCCAGTTCATGTGACATGATCACATGTCACTGTAAGACCCCAAGCTTTCATTCCTCCCAGCCTGACTCACAGGAAGGCTTGCCTGCAAATAGAGCCATCCAGTCAATTGTCCTGGTTGATGGGAGCCATTAAGATTCCAAACCACCATTAATGACCCACACTTTGCATAATTACAATAGGCCCTCAGAGTTATATTTCATATTTCTAGTTTCAGATACAAGAGTGATACCTTTATACAAATAGGATGATCACACTCAGTAGACAATAAGCTTTGTAATGATACCTTACAAGACACCTTTTACATGAAGCATATTCCAGTTACATTATATTCACTCATTATCAAATTTTTATAAAATCATATAGACTGCAACGCCACAGTAGGAATGTAGAACTTAAAGGGGGAGATGTAATGGAATGCTAAACTGTATTATACTGTGTGTAAAATACCTTATTTAAGCTCACCTCAGCCACACCTCCTTCTCCCACAGCCCCTGCACGCACACAGAGCGCCGCACCCCCTCTGAAAACTAGGGTTGTGGTGATACCAAGGAGGCGCCAGTCCCCTACCTCATCGAAGACATCGACACGAGCGTGGTGCTGGAGCAGGATCTTCACTATCGCTGTGTGTCCTCGCTCTGCCGCCACCAGCAACGGGGACCAGTCATTCTAGAGAAGGGAGGGAGAGACGGGGCCTGCTTAGCTCTTTGTCCCTTCCCTGCTATTGTCACAGCCCTGGAGAGTCAGCACTCTCTGAGGTTCAGAAATGCTGTTAATTCAGTGGTGGTGAAAGGTGCCGGACTAGCAGCCGGAGTGACGGAAGCTCCATGTAGCCACACGACGGGTACAGCACAGACAATGGCAGCACCAGTTTCCTCACACACCTCCCTTGCCGATGCGTTCTGGAGGGACCCGCCTCTGGCAGTCATATGGTACCTCAATCTCACCATCCAGTAAGTCTCCGCCCTCTCTTCTGGGATGGTTGTCAGTTAACACCAGCTGTGCCAGTTGCTCTGTGACATGGCCACCCATCTCCTCAGAAAGGGACTGAGGCCACCCGCTCACTCCATGTCGGCCAAAGAGCCAGCAGATGGCAATGAATCTTCACCACTACCCACCCAGCCTAGGGGCAAATGAGTCCACAGCCCATCACCATCCCCCTGGGCCAACCCGCCCCCCGACCTTTCCAAGTCAATACACCATCAGAGACTTCTTTATTTCAGTGGTTAAAGGTAAAACTGGTGAACTGGGGCATATGGCTCCTTTGGGTGCAGAGGATCTGGGATTTCTGAGCAGCCAGTGTCAGGAGCTGAGTGTCACAGGGGAATGCTCCAAGGGGACTCAGGGACTGGGGTTTACCTCTTGTTAACCTGCCAGGCAAAAACAGAGGAGGCATAGCCTGGAGGAGAGTGCTTGGGTGGCTGACAGGCCGGTGTTGTTAGGGAGCTTACAAGCCAGACTCTCGCATGCTGCAGGCGGGGGGTAAGCAGGGGACTCAAAGCTCTGGATACCCCAAGAACCATCCCATGGAACTATAGAGTCAAGGCACCATGCGGTTATCTACGGTTAGTGGGTATGGTTCTCTCTGCTGACTAGTGAATATAGCCTGCCACTCGCCTAGCTGGGAAGGATTTTGCATCATCAGGGCATGCTGGCTATTTACCATTCCCCGGTCATTCAAAGTTAAAGGTGAGAAAGGGTACAAGGTCTAGATTTTTGCACCGGTTGCTCAGTGCAGAGCAGAACTCTCTCACCTAGCTTACATTGCAACTGAACTCTCCCAAGCTAAGCTTTATTCTGGTCATTGCTCCTGCTGGGGAAATGCTCCCCTCAGAGATGCAGGGGATGAGGTCCCAGCCCAGAACAGAAATACCTTGGCTTGCTTGTTAATGGTCTGCTGCATTCGGCTGGTGTTAATGTGCTTAAGCATCTCCAGCAGGACATCCGCATTGCCCACATGGGCACAGTAATGCAGAGGGGTCTCAAGGGACTGCAACACAGAAACAACCAAAGGGACTCTGAGAAACCTCTCTCCATGCACCCCGTTAGCCTGAACAACTTTGCCACCCACCCACTCAAGAGTAAGGAGAACTTTTGGGGACACCTTAAAAACAAATGTCCTGCCTGTTATGCATAGACCATGAAGGGAAGGGTTTGCTCTGGGGTCCTTAACCAAAACTCTTTCCTCTCCATTATGGTGCAGCATGCTTTGCACCGGTTGTTTCTCCGGTTGTTTCTCCAGTTGAGGTGCTCCACCTCAGAGGGGGCTGCGCTTCTGTGGGACGGTGCATCTAGAATGGGGGAAGTGCTTTGGGATCCATCCGGACGCACAGAAATATAAATGTGTGTCATAAACATACAGTTTTGTTTGTAACTATTTTCTAAAGTCTGACAGCTAAGCCAAGCCGTATCCAAGCGATTGCGTGGGGGCTTGTTTTCAAGAGAGCTAAGCACATAAGCTGCTTTAACAAGGACAGTGGCGCTTTTGCCAATAACTCCCCATGCAGCCCACTGAGTAAATGACCCTTCTGCAAGGAACCTTCAGGACAAACAAGACACAGAATAAACTCCAGCTTCATAGGTCTGGGAAAACCCATGCCCCCGACTTTGCTAACTTTGAAGTTCCGATCAGTCTGTTGGAAGGAGCTCGGCAGATGGCCCAAATGCCTATAACAACAACAGTGATGGCATACATCCATTGAGCCTTTCTCCCCTAGGAGCCCCAGGTTCGTACGTACTAGTCGCGTGGTACGGGAGATGTCGGCATCGTACTCCATGAGCATGGCGATGATCTTGGTCTCCTCCTCCTCAAAGTGGACCATGTCCTTCTTCACTGCAGCAGCCAGGTGGAGGGGTGTCTCCCCTGCCTGCGAAAGGGTACGAGCCAAAACACAAGCAAAGCAGCATGTTCACCCAGCGCCTCTGATTGCGCTATCACGCAGCGCTGTTCTGTAACCACTCGGGCACAGAGCTTGGGCAAGCACAGGAAACCATGCCCTGCGAACAAGGAAAGCTGGCCAGCTTCTTCCAGTTCTTCCCTATTCATCGACAGCTCCCCTGCATGGAGGCTACTGTCAGTTTATCCTACCCTGAGTTCAAGGCTCTCCCATGTTCATGAGTGCTAGCCAAAACCGGCCTTTTTCCTTGCTAGGTCACTGATCTCGACACAGAGGGGCTCCAGCCCAGCAGGAGTTGGCCTTTCTGCCTCAAGCCTTCCAATGAGCTCAGTAGGAATGTGGGGGTTGATCCGCTGTTGTAGGGTCTGATCCAAAGCCCACGGATGTCAATGAGAGTCTTTCCATTTGGATCAGGACCAGAGCACAGTTTGGTGAGGAGAGGAGACAAGAGGGAACGAGAAAGGGTGGGAGGATTTCTGGGCAGAGTGTGGCAGTTTGGGTGGACCCAGACCCTAGAAGTGGTTTCTAGGACCACCACTGAAAAGCAGCTTTCTGCTCCACACCTTCCAGCCTTGGGAGGGACTGGACATCCCAATGGAGGGTAGCGGTGGGAAGGGAGCCTTCAGAGGACGTGGAGGGTCCTACAAATAAAGCCATCTTACAATGCCACTTGCTAATTGAGTTGATGCCCAGTTTATCGGCCTAGTCCTATGGCCTTATCCATCATGCTGTGGGTGGGCACGGGGTGCTTGTTGCCATTCTCACCTGGTGCCCATCAGACGAACATGGACTCTGCCATGTAGCCCTCTGCCTCGCCATAGGAGAGGGTCACTGATTGAATGCGAGCACCTCCGGTCCTCCCCATGAGAGGGTGACAAGTTTGAGAGATGTTTCTGTCTTAGCTAGGAGGAGTTCATTCCCCCATACCATGTCACCCCCCGCCCACGTACGTAGCATGCTCTGTTTCACATCTCCAGACATTCAGGCATTGGGCCTGTCTCACGTACAGGCCCCTCCCTCTACCCCTGGTCACCTTGTTTTCCTGGTTGACGCAGGCGACGGCCTCTGCGTGGCTCTTCTCCGTGGCCAGGTAGTTGAGGATCTCTTCCACCACGGGCAGGTGGCAGTGCTGCACTGCGATGTGTAGGGGGCACTCTCCGGCCTGCCGGCAGGAAAGGGGCATTAAGATGGGTGGCTGCCTCGCTTCCAGGGCTGTCTCTGGTACTGCACACGCCATCTCCCACCGCGATATAAAACAATTCCCTCTCTCCACCCAGAAATGAATGAACGTGCCAGGCGAGGAGACAGCTGACCCAGCTACATGCTGAGAACCATCCCTCAAGCCCAGGGCCGGCTCTAATTTTTTTGCCGCCCCAAGCAGCAAAAAAAAGCGCTGCCTCGCCGTAACACCCCCCCCCACCGAGCGCCGCGCCACCGAACAGCCCCCGCCGAGCGCCGCCAAACACCTCCGCCCCCCGCGGAGCGCTGCACTGCTGAAGCCCCTCTGCGCGAGCACCGCCAAACACCCCCGCTGAGCACCGCACCGCCGAACACCCCCCGCCAAGCGCTGCGCTGTCGAACCCCTCCCCGCGGAGTGCCGCGCCGCCGAACACCCTCCGCCGAGCACTGCGCCGCCGGAACCCCCCCCGCCGAGCGCCGTGCCGCACCGCCCCCCGTCACCCCAAGATTGGCCGCCCCTTACCAGGTGCCGCCCCAAGCACGTGCTTGGTTGCCTGGTGCCTGGAGCCAGCCCTGCTCAAGCCTGACTCTAAACTCCTCCCTATTCAGCCTCCGCACTTCAAGGTCTATAGCCCGAATAAGGCTAAAGGGGATAAACCACCCCATTCCTTTAAGCTCTCAGTTCCCTTCAGCCATCCACTGACAGTGCAGAGAGTCATATGGCTCGAGTGTGTACCATAGAGGTTGTTCTGTGGATGGTGTCCTACATGGTACAGACGTGCTAAGGACTCTGCCTGAAATTTAAGGTCCTTTGAGTTTCAGGATCATTGTCTATGACTCTCCACCAGGCTGAGCAATTGTTAGTATGAACATGGTTACTGAGTCTATACAAGAGATTTCCTATTGGCTCCACACCCAAGCGCTAAGCAGGATTGATCTCTGCTACATCTGCCTTTCTAGCTGTGAGGCAGTAAAAGCGACCTGTAAAACAAACAAACTCAAAATACTGGGCTAATGTCCCCCTTAAAAAAAAAACACACACAAAACTCTGTGAGGGAAAAAGGAATCCTGAATAGTCCCCCAAGCTCTCTTATTTATTTTTTCCACAGGTTTTGTCTGCCCCTCAAGACTCTATGGTGACCGGACAGCTACAGAAATGATCACGTCACAAGAGTCAAGAGAGTAAAGTTGAGCAATCGAGAGGGGGAGAGACTGTTTCAAGGTCTTTTCTGGCTTGTTTTTGACAGCAGCTCTTTCTAGTCAATAGCTAATTAACCGTCTGGAGAAAGGCAGTCTTCGTTAAATATCCACCTCCCGCCACCTGTTTAGCTGCATCACCGTGAACGTGCTCTGAACCGCTGAAGGGATTTTCCAGCAAAATCAAGGAGCAGCAGCACTGACACTCGTGATATTTCGAAGGTTAAAAACAGACACTAAAAAGCAAACGCCCGACCCTTTCAGGCTGCCTTTCTAACCAGAGAGAAGCCGAAAGGGCACAAACCCAAGGGCTACGAGCCTTTTTAGGTCAGCTTTCTCCACGAACCAGAAGGCAGTTGGGTGCATTTGGGTTTGGGGGGTGAATTTTAATGCTCCTGCGAATGGGGCTCGGAGGACACTGGCGAAAGCTGAGCCTAGCAGGGCATGCAGGACCAGGCTTCCTGCCCACCTAGCTTTGTATTTCCATCATCCAGTCCTGGGGTCTCCCCGGATCAGACACCGCTCATCGAACTGAGTCCGACCCAGCTGCACGGAGGGGAGTGACAGAGCTGAGTGGGAGACCAGCGAGCTCATTGAAACACTTAAAACCTAATTCCTGTGTGAGCCCAGCAAGCCAGAAGAGACAGGCCAATGTATTCACAGCTCACTCCATCACCTGGTTATTTTCCTTGGCCTCATAACTGCTAAAGAATGAGCAATCCGGGTTTGTTTGACAGATTGGTCTAACCCTTTGTGCATGTTAATGTTCAGACATATTTTAGTTCTGACATAAATCCCAATGAAAGAAGACAGGTTGCAAAAACTATCATCTCCGGCCCACCGTGGGCTGGTTGGTCCCAGCTGGGGGGGGTGCACTGGAGCAAGTGCTCAGAACACATGCAGGTATGGCTACTCCTGATGGGGCAACATCTGGGACTTGGTGGGCTAACGGTCTGATCTGCTCTGGCAAGTCTTGTGATCCTGGTCTTTCCCACAGAAGGTTCCTGGGACATGAGGCAGAGACTGAGTATGTCTTGGCTGCCTTGGGAGCCACCTACCTTGGACTGCAAGGTGAGCTCCCCTCCTTCCTCGATCAGGGCCTTGATCATCCTCAGGTTGCCATGGCGAGCTGCGACATGCATGGCTGTCTCGCCGTTCTGCAGCCAAAGCGCAGCATTGAAATGAGTGAGGTGCCAGTAAGATCCAGCCCCTCCCTCTTTGCCCCCAGGAATGTGGCCGCATGCTTTACCTCTTGTTCCACGTTGACGTCGGCGCCACTCTTCAGCAACATCTCCGCCACCTTCTCTCCCTCGCGGATGCGGGCTGCGATGTGCAGAGGTGTCTCCTGGGCCTGAGGGAGACACAGACGAGGACTCAGAGCCCTGTGGAATTGTGTTGGCTTCTCTTATCACATCCACTCAACCTGAGCCTCCTTGCTGTCTGGCACCCTGGGTCATTGCTTACCCCTGTGCAAGGGGGCACTGCATGGGGGCAACACACTGCCCTTCTGATCGGGTAGGTTTCACACCCACCCAGCACACCAGGTGCAAAACCAGGTGGAATCAGGCCTGGTATATTTCATACACTCCTCAGAGCCCATGATGTCAATCTCAGTCTCCCCGGGACACCTGGAGTCTTCTTAGCCTCTCCTAGCTCCAGTGTCCAGATTGAGTGGGATGAACCCCTTCTGCTTGACAGCCAGTCCTGCCCCTGCTCTAGGGCTGCCACCTTCAAACCTCATCCCACAACACAAGGTCATTGAGCCATGGGCAGAAATGTTCTGAATTTTGATTTTGTTTTGAGAAAATGTTCACATTCCCCCTTCCCCCGCTCGTTTTTTATCCGGCCCTTGTTGTGATGATGTCACTGAAGAATTAGAGCATCATCACCACACCATGGCAGGACATCTCACATCATGACACTGCATCAGTTCGGGAGATGTTTTGGTGCAGAGACCACAGTCAATTGCAAGGCATGGGAGTGCCACGTTGAAATCTGAACTGGTCTACAATAATCAGTCAACCCTTCCTTACCCTCCCCTCAAGGCTCGTGGGAGTCATCATCAAGGAAGGAGGAGCTCTTTTCCCTTATAAAACCCCAGATCTGGTGGCTTTGGTTTATATTTATATGATTTCACGTATCCAGAAGTCAAAGGTGAATGTATAAAGCTCTTACACCACCTGGAACCCAACCCAGTTAGCACTTTCTTTCCAAGATAAAACCTCATAACTAGTAAATAAATTGCAATTCTATTTTATCTGACAGGCTTTCAAACCACTAGGAATTTCTGTCATTGTGAGGATCAGACTGATGAAGGTTAGCGTCATCTCCCTACCTACAAGATCCCCATGGCTACCTTGCTAGTTTCAGCCTGCTTTTTATAGCCTGGTTTCTGAGAGCTGCATGGATTAAACTAAAGAGAATCGCAACAAAACAAAGATTAGAGCTGGGCAAAATTTTTCAAGGAAAACTTTATTTTAAAGTGAAAAAATGTAGATTCAGATCGACTGAAACATTTTCCACATTTGTGTTGAATTTGCCTAATTGTTTTGGCAACAAAAACAACAACAAAAATTTTCTGAAAAAGTTGAAATGTTTTGTTGAGAAGTTTTGGAAATGAAATGTTCTGACTTTTCAGTTCAAAACAACTTTCCCTTTTGAATCTTACTTCAATTGAATGTAGAGACATTTTTTTAAAAGGTAAAAACCTGGAAAACAAAACTAAATGGAATTGTTTTTGATTTTTTGGTTTGGTTTGGCCACTGAACCGAAAAATCAGTCCCAGCTCTGTCAGAGATGGCAAAGCTGTGTCTGGGCCATGGCGGGATTGTTGCCTACGGCACGTGTGGACTAGATGACCCAAGAGATCCTTCCATCTCAAACTTGTCGGATTCCACATTCTTCAGTGCTTTGCAGAGGCTACTTTTAAATGTCTCCCATGTCGATTATTCACAGTATCGTCAGAATGAGAGACCCCAGGAGCACACGGAGGCCAGTGACACCCAGAAACTTCACAAGTAATTACACGGGCGTTATTAACAATTTTGTTATGCAGATAAACAATGCCACAAAACACTGAAATCCAGCAGCAGACAGACAGAGTTTTTAGCTTTATGACTGATCACACATATCTCCTGGCGCGTCAGTCATTATCTTTCCCATTGTCGTCATCATAATTTGTGGCTGTCGTCCTGGCAGTGCCAGTGCTACCCCTTTTGGGTCCTAAGCAGGAATATTTTGCCCTTCCCCAACACATAATTAATAGGGGACCCCATTAAGCTGCTTGGGGCCCTAAGCAATTGCTCAGTCTGTTTGTGCTTAGCGCCAGCTCTGTGTCCTGGCATCTCCTCACGTGTCTCCCCCGCCCCCAGCCAGCACACAGGCCTGACAACACCTTTTATCCTGAGTTATCCATACTTCCACACCCCACTAATTTACGGGTGTCCCATTTCTCAGTGGCTACCCCCTTATTGTCATTAACATCTACATCAATGAGTTACCATAGTAACTAGAGGTTATTAGAAAATTCCCCAAAATGTTAGTTTTGGATATCTTGCGGTATTAACTGGTACATTGTGGCATATTTTCCAGTCTCTTGCTGCATGGTTTCCTGAACCTTGGCACTTCACACATCTTTTATTGTGATCATGCACTGTAGCGGCACCAGGTTATCTTTCAGGATAGTGGTGCCAACCTGTTTCAGGCCTAAGCCTTGTGTGGCTCAGCTGAATATTTTACAGGGCTCTAGGTCGTGTGTCACAATACTAATGAATACGTATATTTCACCTCTGTATCGCAAATAAACTTACCGGTACTATCTTTTATTCTTGGCTACAAAGCCTCTGCCACTTCCCTTGGGAGAATATTCCACCGCCTCTAGATCTCGCTCTTAGGGGCTTTGCTGTCACTGCTTGTTATAAATCCCTAACAACCTCTATCCCTCATAAGCACTATGGCTCGCGGCTCTTGTGTCCCACGGAAGTGGTGCTTAACTGATCTGTACAGCATCTTTCTATTTGTTCCAGCATCATACAAATAAAGAGGAATATCTCCAGCCCAGAGGAGCTGTCTGTACCAGTCCCATTAGCTTTATTGGGGTACACACTGATAACTTCCCCCCACCCCCAGCCAGCAACAATCCATCCCAGGGTGTCCCATTTCAGACGAGTTTCCCTTTGTGTGTTCAGGGCTCACACACCCCAGCTGGGGAGGGAACGTGTTAGCCAGTCCTTGCAGAGCCCAGGCACATTTCCTAGCCGTTCTTTCCTGGTGCAGAAAACGCTGCTGGCAGGTGGTGCTGTCGCGCCACCTGGTGTACGTTTGCAACAACACTACAACCGGGTTCAGAGGGAGCCTGGAGTAGCCTTCTGGTTTTCTAAAACCGATCGGCGCAAATTGGACGCAGCAGAACACTGTGTCAGTGAATGAAATCCTAGCCGAGCCCCCAAAGTAGTCTGTACCCCTCTGAAATAGGGCATCGAAAACACAACCCACTTGGGTGCCAGGGGGGACTGGGAATACCACGGTATTGTTACAGCGGAGGAAGTAAAAAGGAGCACGGATTGTGAAGGCAGGAACTAAGGTTCCACAGCCTGCAAGGAAGAATCACATCCCAAGTTTCGGCCCTACCTTGCCTCCCTTGAGCTGGACTCGGGCCCCAAAGCCCAGAAGAGTCTGTACCACCAGCGGCTTGCAGTGCTGGGCAGCAAGGTGCAGGGCCGTGTAGTTTTCTTTGGTTCGAGCATCCACCTCTGCCCCCCTCTGCAGCAGGGCCTTCACCACGGCAGCATGGCCCCGCTTGGCTGCCGCGTGCAAGCAGAGCGCCCCGTTCTGAAAGAGAGGCAACCGGTTCCCTTGGCACTTGGATTTTCAGCACGCACTCACTACATCCACTCTGACACCTTAACGTGGGCGGGGCGAATCAGTTTGCCAGAGGACTGGGGCATCACTTGTGCCGTAGGAGCTGGTACGACCACTCTGTGTAGCTGGGGCTGTGACAGACTCACATCCACCGTGGCTCAGGCATGAGATGGGGGACACAACACACGTGGGTCAGGGGGTTAGTCTGGCTCTTTGTGGCTCAGAGAAGCGGGAATATAGAAAGCTGGGTGGGGAAACAAAGGGGGGATTATGAAAGTAATTTGGGGGTGACTGTCATCAAAATTTGGATGAAAGTTTGTGTTGAAATGAGAAAAAACTTCTGCCAGTTCCGTATATCAAGTCCTGGTGATACTGAAATATTGCTCCTGGCACCCTTCCTATGCATGTGAGACACCCGGCAGCTTCCAGAGCTCGTCAGAAAAAGGTAGGGAAAATGTACGAAGAAGTGAACATTTTTCATTGGGTTTGAAATGTTCAGTGAAGTTTTCTCCCTTCCCCCAAAATATCATTTTGTTGGGGGGAGGAGTGTGTGGACAGCCAGAGGTGAATATATTTCCCCAACATTAGCCTGTTTTATGCAAGGTTTATTGGGACTGGAAATGCAGTTTCAATAAAGCAGATGCAACTCCAGGCTAAGAAGGCAGTTGGGAAGGAAAGATGCAGCAGTAAAGATGGAAACAGTTTAATGGAAACAGTTTAATAGACAAGTTGCACTCCTATAGCATCTTGGGACTCAGGATCTCAGCACGTTTGGAAACAATGAGTCTTATACCATTCCCTAGGAGAAAGGTAGAAATTATTATCCCCATTTCACAGATGGGGAAACTGAGGCAGAGTGCTATTAAATGACTTATGTGAAGCCACATAATTAAATCAACAGAGGGTCCTGTGGCACCTTTAAGACTAACAAACAGTCTTAAAGGTGTCACAGGACCCTCTGTTGCTTTTTACAGATTCAGACTAACATGGCTACCCCTCTGATAATTAAATCAGTGACAGCTGAGTGGAGCCCTGCCACACAGTTCACATATCTGATATATGGCGTCTGCCCCAGGCATGCTACAGTCTGGGATGGTTTATGAGACCATAAGTTGCTAGGCTGGTGGGAAATAAACCTCTCGTCTCAATTTTTACGTTTCCAGTTAGAAATGAAGGGGAGAAGGTAGGGGGAAAACTTCCACTTCCTCATTTTTTCCAGCAAGGGAAAATAATAAATAATTGGGGGGGAGGGGTTCCCTCTACTGAAATTAAGCTTTTTAAAAATCTTTTGAAAAATTTCAACCAACGTGATATTTTTTCACAAGGTCATGTCTTTTATTGGACAGCTTCTGTTGGGCAGAGAGACCCGCTTTCGAGCCACACAGAGCTTTTCTTCAGGGCCTGTTGGTCCCAGGATATTCGAGAGACGAAGATCTGAAGAAGAACTCTGTGTGGCTTGAAAGCGTGTCTCTTTCACCAATAGAAGTTGGTCCAATAAAAGCTATGAACTCACCTGCCTTGTCTCTCTAATATCCTGGGACCAACACGGCTACATCACCACTGCATCTCCTTCATGAACATTTCTATTTTGGTTGAAAAGGCGTTTTCCATCCCCCCAAATCCAAGTTTCAGCCGGACGTTTTGGAGCAGCTGTAGCCACTGACATTGGCCCTGCCTGACTCTCCGTGCTGAGTTACCTTATTGGGCATGTGCAGCAGGACTCCTTTCTTCAGAAAAGCCAGAGCGGTGTCCGGGTGCCCATGCTCGGAGGCAACGTGCATGAGGGTGCTGCCGTCCTGCAGGGAGCAAAGATGGGCAGCAAGTAAGGATGACAAGAATCTCTGGGCTAGCCAAGAAGCTGGGTAAAAGTCCCAAAGGCGGAGTGGGTCAGATAAGGACCCTGCCTCCCATTCCCCTCCTAATGTCCCAGCCCCATCTCATTTTGTCCCTCCAATTTCATCAGTATAGTATTCCTATACCACAGCTGTCTCCTGCTTTCCCCTGCCACCTGTGCACCAGAAATAGGCTCTTTCTGGCGTACGGGACCTTCTGGGCTGCTGTCATAATGCATTGGCACTTGTGTTGCTTGTGACTGACATTACAATGAGGGCTGGGGGCCTACAGGCGACATGCTCATCACAGCTACAGCGGACACAGGCAGTGCTGGGGATAGAACAGAAAATCAGCCCAAACACTGGCCTCTCTCACTTGAGATGACGGCGAATCCTCATCAGCTGGCAGTAGGGCTTTTAGCCGCTCCATGGGCCACCACCAGAGGGCAGCATGCGCAGCCAGTGTATTACAACGGAAGTGTCCCCGTGTCACATTTCCACGTGGATTCCAGTTACAGCCTTGCTACCTTTGTGGCCACAACCCAAACGCCTTTGAACAAACCAGCTCCCTGACAAAGAAATGCACTTGCACTGCCCTGACTGAGAAAGCTGGCTAATACCCGGCCTATTCCTTGGCTTTCCACTTCATTTCCCAGCACTGTGTGTGAATAGACATGCCGAGGCTGTGTGGCTCCAAGCTAAGGCAACAAGGGCCTAATTTCCAAGCCAGTTTTGTCTAGCTCAAGATTGCGAGCAGCGACCAAACAGTGGGTACCAGTCCTGGTCCTCTCTGGCCCATACGCTCGGCTGCTACTCAGAGGAACATGGTGTGTGGGTGTCTCTCTCACCTTAGTGCGAGCTAGCACATTGGAGTGGAACTTCTCCATCAGCAACTCCACCACATTGGTGTGGCCTCGTTCTGCAGCAATGTGCAAGGGGGACCGGTCCATCTGCAACCATCAAAGAGAGCAGCGTTTCCAGAGAAGCAGCTGGAGCTGCCGGCATTTCTTTGCAAGTGTAATGTGCGCTTGGGAGGGAGAGAGCCTGTGTGCAAGCCTAATCGGAACGTACCCTCAGCTGGAACGGCTCAACATCTGCCTCTACGACACTTTGTCTAGCCAGGGTAAGCCTGGATCGGAAACTGTGGAAGTTGGGGGGAAAGCTGGCATGGCTGTTGTTCTTGGGGTACTTCTCATTGGCTAGATGACTTCAACCTGCCAAGGGTGCCAACCTATTACCAGCACTACCGCCCACCCAGACATTTATTTAAACCACCACAACACACAGCACTGCTAAACCAAGGGTACGTCCACACTACCCGCCGGATCGGCGGGTAGTGATCGATCTATCGGGGATCGATTTATCGCGTCTCGTTTAGACGCGATAAATCGATCCCCGAACGCGCTCCCCGTCGACTCCGGAACTCCACCAGGGCGAGAGGCGGAAGCAGAGTCAACAGGGGAGCCACGGCCGTCAATCCCGCGCCGTGAGGATGGGAGGTAAGTCGAGCTAAGATACGCCGACTTCAGCTACACTATTCTCGTAGCTGAAGTTGTGTATCTTAGATTGATCCCCCCTGCCCCCAGTGTAGACCAGGCCCAAGTGACGTATGCAGAGTCAGCTGCATGAAGGATCAACCAGTTCATTCAACTACTCGTGCCTCTTTGTCTTCATTGAACTGAATCAGTTAAAAGACAGGTCCTTACTGAAGAGGGGAAAGGCTGTTCTCCTGGGCTGATTGGCATGGGCCCTTGAAAGTCTTTTCTCCCTTATCTTGCCTAGGGCTGCTGCCTGCCTGGATGGGGGAGGGGAGGAGAACGAGCCACTTGCATCAGCACCATGCAGTTTAATGAGTGGAGGGAAGTTCCTGGTTTGGACTGTCTGCCTGCTGAGGCAGATGCAAGTTTGAGGGCTTCCAGGCCATTAACACCAGAAGCCCTATAATCAAAGGTGCCTCTCAAGGAGTCGTGTTGTGTCCGCCAGTTTCACAGGTATATCACTCCACTAGCTGTCCCAAAATTACCCAAACAGGGCCCTCAGGATGCTCTGTAAAGAGTTAATCAGCTCTCTGGCATGTCTAAGTAACCGTGTCTCCATCTTGGGATGAGCCAATGGCCGTTTACTCTGATGGTGCCGTGCTGCACATGGTATGCGCTGTTGGTTGACGGTATTGACCCATCCATCCACCCGTCTATTACACCTCTCAGTTTAGTATTGAAGTGCAGAAGAAAGGGACTCGTGGTCCCAATAAGCACTCCCTAAGTCAGCCAGTTCCCACTCCCCACCCCCTTTTACACACCTTGTCTGCTACGTTAGGATTGGCCTTGCAGTGATGGAAGAACTTCAGCAGGGCTTCATCGCCTTCCCACGCAGCGACATGTAGAGGAGTCTGACCTTCATCCTAAAACAAAGGGCATTAGAACGTCCTGGGTGTAGCATAACTGAGCTGCCCAGCGGCTCCACCCTTAGCCCAAGCAGATAACCCACTAGGCAGGAGAATTTGGGTACCTGAGATGCCACCTTGTGTTGCATTAAAGCATCACTCCTCTGCCCTAAAAGCTTCACCTCCTAGTGTGACATCACCAGGTTAACCAATGTCACTGTACCACGCATGGAGATAGTGAGGTTGCAGCTTCCTGTAGCGTTGGGGCTGCTACTGTCTGGAGATCAGGATCTGGCCTAAACAAGGCTGGATCAGCCTTCAGAGATGCAGCACTGTTCCAGAACTGGGTAGACCCAGCTCCTGCTGTGTGCAAACAGAGAACGGGTTTCCAGCAAATAGGATGTATTTGCAGCTCAGGCAGGACAATCTCTCAGCCTGACATGAGTCTCTTGGCGGGGGTCTCTCACCCCAGGCCTACTGAAGCCTATGGAAAGACTCATTGGTTTCAATGACCTTTGGATCAGGCTTTCAACAAGGGGCAGATCAACTCTGAATTATTACTGATCATTTGTATTACCGGAGCACCTAGGAGCCCTAGTCGTGGGCCAGGACCTCACTATGCTACACGCTGTACAAACAAAGAACAAGAAGATGGTCCCTGAATTATCCCAAAGATAACCATCTACCCCTACTCTCGTGGTTTCCCTTGGGCAATTTCCCATGTTCTCAATGCCTCGAAAGCCAGTACACTGTGACACTGACTGAGACCAGCTCCTATTAATTCCTTCCATTGTTTTCCTTTTATTGTATTATGTAAAGAATCTATGACCCTCTGCTGAGGACTTCCTGGGTTGTAATTACAGATGGAACTTGGAGCCTTCTGCTCCAAAAGCCCAGGTCCCACCACTCTAACTAAAGCAGACTCTCCTTGGGCAGTAGGTGTGCTAGAGCTTCCAGCATACACTTCAGTGGACCTCTTCGCTCAGTTACATCTATTCAGAAGCCACCCCAATGAACTGTGTTTAATTAGGTCACAAGTCCTCAACTCCATGGGGAGGTATGTGAACAAGTCTCAGCAGGTCTTGTCCACCCTCCCTTTCTTTATGGCTAGATAAAAGGGAGTCCCCGAATCTATTCTGCTGTAACCTGGGGTCTTCTTAGCGTATGCGCCATGTGCCTCAGGTGGCACGTGACCAGGATTAATCACTGAATTTGGTCTGCTCTCCTTCTTAGCTAACTGGGGTGCTGCTGTGGAACAGTTGAGAATCACCGAACCACATAATTCTGATAAAAGTTGATAGCGTCAACTATTGGGGAAAATATAGAACTGAAAATGGCACTTGCATTCCTGCCAAAGAGAAACACGACCAGAGAACACGATCAATAGGGGTTGTTCGACTGGTCATTTGAACCATTTCTAATGAGTATGTTTGTAAACATGTGATTGTACATTGGAACCTGTCCTTCGAATCAATGTGTTCCTTTTAAAACCAGCCTCCTTACTCTGCCAAACGCTGGAAGGAGAAGGTGGATTTGAACTCTAATGGGCCTTTCAATATATTTCAGCACAAAGCTGACAAGTGCTAGTGCTAAGTCTGGCCTGGTTCTGGAATGCTAGCAGACTAGATTTATCTTGGCATTTTGCCTAATTCACTTAAGGGCCCTTTATAAATAACCCAGGACCTTTTGGCCTTGCAGTTCTACAAAATTGCTTTGTTTATTTGACTGTTTAAGTTAGTCCTGAAAGTTTTAATGCAAAATAAACTTCTTGTCAGAGACCATTTTCTTCTGGGATCCTTGAAAGGACCTCGCAAAGGATTGCACAGCTCTTTGGAACAGGTGTTTTCCTTATTTTCTGCATCTTTGGGTTTATTAGAGAAGAAGACAAGGAAGAGAACGAATAATTTGGGGGAAGGTTATTGGCCCCCAGCTGGTAACACGCTTCCCTTACCCACAGAGTCTGCCTCAATCCCTGACTTTTGTGAACCTGACAAGAGTGATGGACCCCTCTCATTTGTGCTGACTGACTCTTAGCCCCGCTACGTGAAACTGCACTGGTAACAACCGTAGTTAGACCCTTTTCACAATGGTGGTGCTAGAAGGATTCAATCCATAGCGTAGTTAGAGGGACACACACAAAGATTGTACGGCTGAAGAATAACAACCCCACCTCTTCGATCATCCCCATTTGATTACAGACTCTGGAAGCCGTATGAAACAGGGGTCCCACAACTTTGAAACCAGGGTCAAAAACTCCAGAGTCCTGTCTACATTAGTGGTTATGTAATCCCCTGGTGAGGAGAGCTGGTCAGGAATTTTTCTTCTAAAAACGCTGATTCATAAAAACCGAAACTGTTTGTGAAACAGGGTCAGGTTCAACAAATTTCCTGACTTGGAAAAATGTTGAGAAAAATGTTTCTGAGTTGTTGAAATGTTTCATTTGAACATTTTCCTAAATGGAAAATTCTGTTTCAAAACGACTTTTAGGGACAAAACGACATTTTGATTTCTAGTTTAAGCTAATTAGACTGGAGAAATGGTGAAAAAAGTCGAAATTGAAATGTTTTGAAATGTGTGTTTCGAATAACCCAAAATGGAAATTTAAAAAAAGCAAGTTTTTTGGTTCGTGAACATTTTTGAGATTTTGACTTTTCATCCCAATTCGAGACAGGACAAATTTTGAACTCTCAAAAATATTCGCAGGACGGGAAAACCTCTGTGCCCGATCCAGAGGATAGGAGTCTGTTTCAGCCCCGGCTAGGGAGCCTTGCCTCTTTAGTTCAAGCTATAGCTACTCAGGCTTTTAGCTCCGGAGGTCACTGGTTCGATCAACCAGTATATTATGATGCCAACATGGCGGGCATCACACCTACACTGTTGGTAAGTGATGATGCAACTGCTCTGTTGCTAATCAACTTGTATCAATGTTCCTAGTGCAGTCATGGCCAGGGAGACTTGAAAATAAGCGTGAAGAAAATTAGTTCAGTATTAAAGCTGCAAACATTAACATCACTAATTTCATACAGGCACATTATCTCTATCATCGATAGTAAATTCATTTTCAGCATGCATGCAGTTACAGGGTGGATTTTTAAAGGATAATTTAGTCTATTAATGAGCTGGTAAACTCAGCTAGTTGAATACTTCCATGTCAAGGAACTTTTGATTTAAGAAACCTCAAGTTAAAGCTGCAAGTCCAGGAGCCTTCACAGTTTAAAAGCGTCTCAGGAGAGAAGGCCGAAAAGCTGAAGAACCTTTGGCTTATGCCTTGGATTCAGGACCTTAAACTCCATTGGTGAAGCTACATAGAGTTTGTGAACGTCCCCCCACCCCACCACCAGAGGCAATAGCTCTGGATCGCTTTGGATTCAGAAAATTATATATAAACCACCGCTGTCTAGTGCTAGTGCAACATGAAGGTTGAAATATCTAGCAACCACACAGCCGAAATGTAGTATTTTCTATTCCAGTTTTCTTTTTTAAAGGTAAATTTTAAAGTATTATTGACTGTGTTCAATAGACAAGAAGTACACAGTGACCAAGGTGATGCTGCTGGAACACACTTAGCCTTGGGAATGCCCTGCCTCTGAACATACTTCTACCTTAATATCAAAGAACATAATTTTGAATTTAATGTTATATTACAACTTGGACAGCATGTGGTGTGGGGAGGCAGATTCTGCTTGCCCTTTCTTGGATACTAACAGTAGCACCGACTTTCCAATGGCACGTATGGTGAGGACTGACTATTCAGTATATCATACTCAGCATATCATTTTGATCTTGACCTTTCATTAGATAACTATCAAACTTTCCCCAAAGCCTTTGGTTATCCGAGGTTGTAGGCTATAGAGCTGAGCAAATAATTCATAAGTAATGATTGGTTTCTTGAGCTTTCATTAGCAGATCACAACCTTCTTGAATTTATCCTTTGACATCCCCCATAGGAATCATTCACAATGAATGTTTGTTACATAAATCACATGAAATTCTCTCTGTTCTGTGATTGGATGACTTATGTAACTAACCAATACTACACAGATTTTGAATATTACAACTAGAGCTAGGCAAAAATTTTTTTGCCTGAAACCTCTTTTCAGTGAAAAATGTGGATTTGGCAACATTGAAACATTTTGTGAATTCGTATTGATTTTAGTGAATTGTTTCGGTCAAAAATATTCTACAAAAAATGCATTTAGACATTTTCAAAATGAAACTCTTCCATTTTGGGGTTTGAAATTACTTTTTGTTTAAAAATTTCCTTTAATATTCTTAAAGAATCAAAAAAATTTAAAATGATTTAACTGGAACCAAATGTTTCCATTTTGTCTAGATGAAATGTTTTGTTTGACCAGAAACAAACTTTTTTTTTGTCTTTTCCATTTGCTGAAACATCTTATTAAAATAGTTTTTGGGTTTACCCAAAACTATTTCCTTCCCTGATTTTTCGGAATTGCCTGTGAACTGAAAAATCTGTTATCCTCACAGCTGTAATTAAAACCAGACCTAGTTTGAAATTCATTTTTAGCAAATATTTAGGAACTGAGCATAAAACTTGCTTCTTGTGAGGATTCATGCTAGTAAAACCTAATCACTCCAGTATTTGTACAAAGCAAACACGAAGGAGTCACAAAGAGAGAGAAGCAACATTTGTTTTTACAATTGATCAGCTATTGGGGGATTGTATTGGATACAGAGTCCCCCAACTCTGCTCAGCTCTGACGATAGCAAAGGCAAAACTTGTGCTCAAAAAACCAAGCTTTGCGTATTTTATACTCACATTCTGGCAATCCACCACAGCTCCATACTCCACTAGGATTTTGGTAACTTCCACATCTCTTTTCCTACAGCTTGCATGCAGCACAGTGTCCCCATATCTCTGTAATGAACAAGCAACGCTTTGCCTATCAATCAATCGTCAATCATGCAGAAAATTGTGACTGATTTGTGTCCTGTCACTATCCCCAATAACACTGATACCTCGGGAGCTATAGAACATATTACTCTGGTTCATTGAATACTGGCATTGTCTTTTGTATGTTTTGTTATTAGTCATCCATTATCTGTGGCTAACATTGCTCCAGTCACACTCCCGCCGCCCAGAGGCAGATTAAGATTTATTGGGGCCCTGGGCACAAAGAACATTTGGCTCGCCACATCTCCCATGGGGCCCTGCCCCCTGCTCCTCCAATTCCCCCCGAGGGCCTACCCTCTGGCCAGGCTGGAAGCCAGACTGGGCCCTGGTAAGAGCCGCCCAGGGAGCCTGGGCCACTGTGGGGAGCCCCCTCCACTTGCCCTGAGAGGGGCACATGGGCTGGGGCCTGTTCTTGGGCACCCCAGCACCCCACCCAGGGAAAGTGGAAGGTCTGGGGGTCCCCACGGCAGCTCAGGCTCCCTGGGCAACTCTTACCACAGCCCAGCTCTGGCTTCCAGCCTGGCCAGAGGGTGGGGTTTCGGGGGGAAGAGGAGGAGCAGGGGTGGGGCCACAGTCCCAATGCTGATGGCCCTTCCCCCTTGTACACACATTCTGGCACTCCTGGGGGCCCAAAATTGGCTGGAGCCCCTGGACACAGGCCTGTTAATCTGCCACTGGTGCCTCCACTGCACAGATGTTCAGGTTTTCCCTTTGGAGAATTGCTTAGTAGATCCGTTGCAGAATACTGAAGGGTTACCTTGTTCTGGGCGTTCAAAGGGCACAGCTCTGACTCAGAAGACAGGCATCGTGCAAGCTTCCCGTACACACAGCTCTACCAATGCATCTCATTCCTAGTTTGCAGCACCTCCACCTCCAGCTACTCCACAGGGCCCACCTCACACAGCCCTGCCTGACTGCAAGTTGTCTGCGATTCCATTTCCACCCCCCCCCCAGCTCTACCCATACATATCAACCCCAGCCTACAATTCCAGACCTGGGGTACTCGGACACCAAGACACCTAATGGTGCTGCTACGTTGGGAGACTTTTCCGAATATTCTTTCTGCTCTTCATTGTATTGTTTTAACGCACAGTTGAAAATAACATTTATTTTTTCCCTATTAACCCCCTAAATTTTCTATTTGGCAAACACCAATCCCCCTTCCCGTCCCCCCGAATGGGGCCTGAAATGAACACAAGCTATTTTCCCTGTCTCCTCGCCTGTCTGCCCACAGCATAGATGTTAACGGACTCTTCAGAACCGGCAGAGGAGGCCCAAGAGCAGGAAACAGGCACGAAATCTGCAGAGGGGTTTATTCCTCTGACGGACTGTAAGCGCCAGCTGGTGTAAAACAGCATAGCTCTATTGAGGTCAATGGAGCTACGTCGATTTCCACCAGCTGAGGATCTGGCCCCAAGTGTGTCCATTGGAAGGCTGGTGGGTGGCATATGGGGAGTGAGTTGGGAGGACTCAGGCTAGCTCTTAGATAGAGTTTGATCTCTCCAGCCCCTGGTGATGCAACAGTGGGGAAGACACAAAACCAACTGCCCGGAGGGTGTGCTGTGGTGTCAGCGGTGGGCTGGGCGTGTGTCCCGTACCTTTTCCCGTGCGCTCAGCTGGGCCTCGGCGTGCGTGGAAAGCAGTTCCTTACAGACTCCCAGATTCCCAGCTTCCACGGCAAGAAGGAGAGGAGTGCGGCCGTCCTGCGGAGAGGGCAGAAGGAAAGCAAAGCCTCGGCGGGGCTGGTGACACCTTTCACGTAGCGCCCCCGGGGAACGTGGGCCTCAGACATAGAGAGGGAGAGACGCGTTTCAGGCTGCCCCGGTCCAGCCCCGTAGCCCATGGCATTCACTTAGTGCCAAGTCTGGCCTCCAAGCCAGGCCCGTGTTACAAGAATTCACTACCCCCGTCACGTATAGGGAAAGGCCCCTGCTCACCTGGTCTTGGCTCAGCCTAGCATCTTTGTGAGAAGCCTTCAGCAGCATCTGCATCACACCGACAGCCCCAATGGGACGGAGGGCTGCATAATGAACAGGCAACTGCACCTTGGGCTGCAATGGAGAAGGAAGGCAAGGGGCAGATTTAGACTAACATGCTTAGGGGGCAGAGACTGCGGATTTCTCCTTTAATCGCTTCTTCGCCTGAAAAGCCCCACGCACACCTCTGGGGCCACAGAAATAACAACAGAGGCGGATGCTGAAAGGGGCCGAGCCGAGGGGCAGCTCTCTCGTTGCAGAACTGCCCCTCCCTAGGGACGGCACTCCAGTTACGCAGTCTGCCTCGGACGCAGCTGAGCAATTCACTCACCGGGCAAGAGACCGCACCAGGGGATGAGTCATTGGGGTAACAGTGAACAGCCAGAGCCACTTTCCGGGGGAGCTGCTAAGGAGTTCTCACAGGAGGCTTCAGATCCATTGTAACTGTTGTAAAGGACGTTCGGCCGGTTACGATCCTAGCATGGCACTGGGCTACGAAGGGAGGCGAGCGCTAGATATGGAGTCATTGTTCCCCTACACGCACTGCTCTGGCTTTCTTGGGTTGTTGGAGGTGTGGCCATGACACTGACATGCCCAGCTCAGGGTAGCGACGTAGCACAGTGCGTTGTAGTGAGGGGCAGCTGGACGTAAGGAAAACACTTTGCCTCCTATAGCATCCCTGGATCTCAAAGTGCTAACGCCACATGACAACCTCGTGAGACAGGCCAGAGATGGTGATTCACAGAAAGCCTGATCCAGACCCAGACATCTCACTGTCGATTCCAATGGGTTTTGGAGTAGTGCCTTCCAGACAAAGGGTCTCAAAGCACTGATCAGAGCTCGCGTATGTGTATATATGGGCTAGAGAGCTGCCTATGGGGTGGAACCACCCAGCATCGGCGCTCTGGAACTGAGGAGGGGAAGAGAAGATACATGCAGAGTGGAAACTACAGGGGGGTTGTAGGCAGCATGAATATCTTGCTTGCGTTGGACACTGGAGCTAACAACTCTACTCCTACACAAAGCACAAGGGGACCCCCCTTGATGGCCAGTGGGCAGGATCTCTGTGTTAGTCTCACCCACAAGATGCATGTGCTTTATACAGAGAAGCACACGCTCCAGCATGCTTCCAACATGCACAGCCGCTCTGCAAGCTGCCGGCAGGACGTCTGGCTTTCTGTGGTTCTGCAGTCACAAAGTTGGCTCACTGCTGCAGAACCTAAGGGGCTTTCAGTTGCAACACAACCACATTTCTAGCCCTTTGGGCTCCAAATTAACCTTTCCCATCATGTCTCAACTGATGCAGTGCCCTCTTCCCAAGCCTGCAAATGTGCTTGGAGGGATGTGAATTGAGCAATAGCTTGGAGGGATATGAATTGCTACCCTTCATCTGACATGATTGACCCTGAAGCCTACCAGTGACAATTCAAATAGCAACATGATTAAACTAGTTGTATTTATGCACCAGCAAAGGCTGGGTTGAATACTGGAGTGGGGCAGACAGCTGAGGTCAAGGTTGGAAATTCTAAATTCAAGCCTTAGTCCACAAAAATTTGAGTCTCCTCCAACTCTCCACACAAGGGGGAGGGAAAGAAGAGCTGTGTCGTCTCCAGAGTGCCAAAGCCCTCCACTGTATCCAGGTGCCAGCTACTTCCTAAACCACCTCCCATGCTTTCCCAGCTGCCAAACCCCCCAGCTAACGGCCGGGTCGTTGTCGTCGTCTTCTTCCTGGCCACTTTCCCATTCGAGGTCAGTGACTTTTATAGCCGTCTTCCAATACTCATGATCATACACCAGGCTGTTGTGCCGATTGATCTCTCAGAGCTCCACTGATATCTGATCCATGTACTGAGTCTTTGGTTTCCCCCACCTTGGTCACCTTGTGTCCACAATCATTGCAAGAGCCATCCTACCAATACAGCTCTCAGGTCTCTGCTAGATATGCCCACAGCAGTGTGGCCTAGCCTCCCTCCACTTGTCTGCAACTGGAGCAACACACTTTAGGCCCCTTACAACCTACCAGGGAGTGTCCAACCATTTGACCACCTCAACATCTTCATTTCCGTGGTGGCGAGCATAACGATTTCCTTCCCTCTGGCCGGCCATAATTCTGTCCCATACATTAAGATGGGTCGAATTACAGTTCCATACACTCTACCTTTTACCTTTATTGGCATCTTTTTGTCCCAGACAACCGGGGTCATGCTCCCGCCACTTGCACCAGGCAGGGTTAGTACAATACTGGGCATCACTCAGAATGGCACCATCACCAGCAACCATGGAGCCTAGGTATTTAAATTCTTTCATGCTTTTCAGCTCTCTGCCAGTGATTCGTTTATGAGGAGCCCTCCTCCCGCAGTTATCACAGCCTCAGTCTTACTTATGTTCTTCTAAGCTCAGCCCACTCCAAACGATGTTGCTGAGGTTTAAAGTTGCAGGGTCTCATGATCTACCGCACGAATCACTAAATCATCAACCAACCATGTGTTCCAAGGCAGCTCCCCCCGTAGATTCTCACTTATCACAGCCACGACAACCGCAAACAAAAAGAGACTCAATGCTGAACCCGGATGGAGGCCGACATCGACTGGAAATTCTCGACTGGAGCCCCAGGTAGTTTTGACTACAGAGTCACTCCACCATATATATCCTGGATAAGATGGACATATCCTTCTGGCACACCTCTGCCACGGACACCTTGGTACATAAGCCTGCACCTTCTCCAGGTCCACAAAGACCAGGCCCAGTAGCCATCTTTTTTTCTCTGAACTTCTCCATGAAGATTCGTAGCACAAACATGGCATCAGTCGTGCTCCTTCCCAGCATGAATCCATACTGACCCTGCCAAATTCCAACCGTTTAACATAGACACTTTTCCTAATCGTCTCCCTTACTTTCATAGCATGTGACTCAAACTGGAACGGGTACAGAGAAGGGCCACTAGGATGATCAGAGGAATGGAAAACCTGTTGTATGAAAGGAGACTCGAAGAGCTCGGGTTGTTTAGCCTGGCCAAACGAAGGCTGAGGGGGGATATGATTGCTCTCTTTAGATATATCAGAGGGATAAATACCAGGGAGGGAAAGGAATTATTCCAGCTCAGTACTAATGTGGACACGAGAACGAATGGATATAAACTGGCCATGGGGAAATTTAGGCTTGAAATTAGACGAAGGTTTCTGACCGTCAGAGGGGTGAAATATTGGAACAGCCTTCCGAGGGAAACGGTGGAGGCGAAGGACCTGTCTGGCTTTAAGATTAAGCTAGATAAGTTTATGGAGGGAATGGTCTAATGGGATAACATGATTTTAGTCAAAGGAATACCGAGCCATGGCAGGTAAATAGTATAATGGCTAACGAGGGTCAGGCTGGAGACTCTTGCCTACATGCTCGGGGTTCTACTGATTGCCATATTTGGGGTCGGGAAGGAATTTCCTCCAGGGTAGATTGGCAGAGGCACTGGAGGTTTTTCGCCTTCCTCCGCAGCATGGGGCAGGGATCTCTAGCAGGAGGATTCTCTGCCAATTGAAGTCTCTAAGACACAGGATTTGGGGATTTCAACAGCAGAGTCAAGGGAAAGGGTAGGGACGGCTTTGTGGCCTGCATCATGCAGGTGGTCAGACCAGATGATCATAATGGTCCCTTCTGACCTTAAAGTCTATGAGTCTATGAGACTTCAGCTTAACCGGGCAATAATTGGCACTCAGTGTAACATTGCCTTTATGTTTAACAACAGGCATCACAAAGCTTTTACACCATTCATCCGGCATTTTCCCTTTCTTAAGAATAACATTAAACAAACCTGTAGGATACTTGATACCTTCCCAATGATGCCACTACATCTCCCCGGTACTTTGTCCGGCCCACGTGCTTTCTCCCTTTTCTTAAAGTGCCTCTGCAAGCTCTTCCTCTAGCATGCAATCTATCATGCCCCAGAGTCTGGTGGACATGTTCTTAATTCCTCCACTGAGTTCTCCTCATCCATCGCTCTTTCAAAACAATCACTCCAAACTTCATGCATGGAGCCACCGTTTGTTTGCAATAGACCATATTCATTTCTAACATAATGCAGCCAGCTAGAATGCGGGCAGCCCGGTGATATCATTTGCTTTGGCAGGGCATAGGACAGAAGATGCCCATGCAAATGTCTTGGCTCAAGGTTTTTCACTTAGCTAATTCAGTTACCAGTACAGCCCTCTCAGGCGTGGCTTGCTGGGCCCTGCTTTGTGCATTAGCATTTCCCCAGGAGACATCCTAAGTGGAACAAAGGTGAACGCTCAAACTGAATATTAAAGACACCCCCGCATTCCCTGGGAATTTGAACACTGTTTCACCACTTCCCTTCGTTGCTGCGCCAAGTGTGGGGGAAGGGCAGAGGGCCCAACAACAATGGCTCAGAAAGGCAGTGGGGGGTGACCTCCAGAGGGGAGGATTAGCGCTGCGTGGGTAGCCTGCCTTCCTCTGGTCATTCACAGCCACCATTCAGATGTGCCAGCTGGCAGGTGCCAACCCTCAGCACAGCCCTTGATCACGCTGGGCTGCTTTCCCTGCTCCCCTCGCCTGCTCTTGGCCATGGAAAGGGTCCAGAATTTAACCCCTGCGTAAGGAGAGGTCCCCCTGAAGCGCAGCCTGGGCCTCTGCTGGAGTCCTGAATGGATGCCTCTTTCCCAGCGAGTGCCTCACTCTCACCCAGCTTCTTGGGCTCAGCACAAGAGCAGGTGACGCCCTACAAAACTTTTCAGTGGACCCAGCGCACAATAAATACCCCTGGAAGTGCTGCACCACACCACTGGCACCTGCTTCTCACAGAGCCCTCAATGAGGAGGTGACAAGTGTGGGAGGCAGGACCAGTGGGGCACATTACTCCTGCCCCCCATAAGGAGGGAAGTACTAGACTAAGAGGCCTGGCTATGCCTCAGTTTCCCCTGCTAGTTTGTTCCAGTTACCATCTGTCTGTTCTAATACAGGAACTCTTCCTGCCCTGTGTAAATTTATTGCTGGTGAAAGGTGCTGAACTGACAGCCTGGGAGACTCCAGCCGTACGGTTTGACGGCAGAGAAGGGACAGCATGGACA